GTTTCCTTTCATAGCATTAAACATCACAATTTTATCACACACCAAAAAGAAGCCGACCGTACCAATGTCTGAGATATTTATTACTTATGCCACAGCCATTTAAAGACTTCACTCCATTTTTCTATTAGAAATGCTCTGATGGCACAGGAGTCCGGACACATAAATGATGACAAACAGCTTCTCATCCATTCCCACAAAATCCACGTCTCTTTCCTCTTCCCATCCATCACCAGCAACTAGCACTTGTTTTCAAAATGTCTCACCACTTCCTTTCCTCACCAATAATCACTGGCTCACTACCAAGTCAGACTCTATCCTTATCAGCCCAGAATACCCACTCCCACTGCTCACTTATTAATTTTATGGCAATCACATGCCTCCTCCTTGCATACCCAGCCCCCTCCCAGGCCTGCAAGAAATTCCATGCAAACATTCATGATTCTACTTCAGTGTTCTCTCTTATCTCTGACATGGAAGTAATGCTGGCATCCAGAGCAACATCACACTCATCACCCCCATGGGACTTTAGGCTTTAAAATAAATTAAAAAAAAACAAACAAACAAACAAAAAAAAAACAAACAACGAAACCAAACAAAAATAAAAACACAGAAAAGTGACAAAAATTTATACTGGAACCTTTGGAACCTTTAAGATTTATCAAAATTCAGTTTAATTCATAGAGTTGCAACATTGTTCTTAAATAGAAGGATAGTAGCTTTAGTTTACAAATATAATGAAATTAAATCAGTTTTCAATTTTTAGCAGCAGTAGACATATCTGGACTAGGTAGGAGCTTTTTCTCTTCTTTCTTCTTTGTACAGTATCAAACCTAATTTCTTCTCACTAATCTACAATGTTAATGGATTTAAATACAGAATTCACACTTGTAGTAGTCTCATAACCTTTCAGGGGAAGTACTGTCCCTGTCCTTGAAGGCCAGAACTAATTTTGTGTTAGAATATTCTAAGTCCCCCTAGCTTATCTATTTCCCCTACCAAACCAAACATATCTATGCATTTCAATCAAGGAAAGGTCAAGATATCAAGCACACTGTGGCCCTACCTCAGGCTTCACAAATAGTTTGTGATAAATTTCATGTTATGACAATGCAAGTAAAAAAAAAAAAAAGAATAAAAATAGAATCCATTAGTGACTTGGAAAGCTTCTTGCTACATAAAATAAATCCAATCAAGAAACAGAAAACAATTCCACACACCATATGCCTCTGTCCTGACATTACTGAGAGCACTTTACAGAAAAAGCGGTCGCATATTGGAAGCTTTGTTTTCATTTTAAGTCTTCATGCAATTATTTCTCAATCATAACTGCAATACAAGGTGTGGGGGATTGTGGTTTTTGTAAACCCACACCCAGATTTCAAGTGGAAGCTCTCTCTTTCCAGACTTGGTTGACTTCCTTGTACCTCTCATAAAAATTTGCTCTGACAAGAAATACACTGTACTCCAAAGGTTATATTGCTTCTGTAAGAATACTGTACCTCAAGTTGCATAATAAGGTGACAAACCAGTGAAAGGAGAAAAATAAAAAAAAATAAAACATCATATTTATAATTATGACTTCTGCTATAGTAAGCTATATGATTTCACACATGAGATTCATCCAGCCTTGAACAAAATACAGAGGAAAAAAACCAGACACAATTATCAATACCATTTTCTATGGAACTAAAGATACAAAGGCAACTCTATTCCAGTAAGGTGCCCTGACCTACAGCTTCTGTCTTGCTCTCTCAGTGAAGATCAGGAAGTGAATATTTACCATGCCAGCCCCCTCATAGCTGCCCAATACTCTTTGGGCTGCCTAGGGGACTAACAATCTTACATCCAAAAGCTTTCTCCTAAATCTCCTAAAATTTTACTCAAGAATCAAACTGTGCCTCCAAATCCTGGGGAGGACACTGCGATGAAGTGTCCAGAGAAGAAGGCTTCTTGGTCCTCCATTGCTACAAGCAGGGTCTCCCAAAGGAGGGTTGAAAGGCAGCAGGCTTCACAAAAGCATCCCTATTCCCATTTTGTATCAGGAACCCCCCAAGAGGGGCACACATGGGTCTACAGAAATTTCCACCTTACTTGGGAATCCATGCATCCAGAAAAACACTTCATCCAAAGGGAAGGAACAGTCAAAGAAATCAAATTCTTATCACATTTTCCTTTCTACCTTCCTAGATGTTAATGGATAGGAAGATACTCCACATGCCATCTCCTCTTCCACCTAAAAATCTGGCAGTAACAAAACCTGCCCAGTTCTCCTCTGCCCATTTTTCACAATGCACAAATCCAACACTGCAACTCACCTGCTCACACACACTACACTGTAAAATTTGCACTCCTTGCAGCCTGTTAAATCTCTTCCACACACAGGCTGGGTTGGCCTGGAAGACCCTCATGCTTACTCTCACCTCCATTACACAGAGTAAAATATTTTCTTAAAAAAAAAAAGTACATTGGCTAGAAGGCTTCCTTAACTGACAGCACAGCTCAAGAGAGGAATCACTGTTTAAACTGTCTGGATTTGGCTTAATTTGTTTTAGGTGCAAATTCTTCTACCAGATCAAAATTGTAGGGTAGGCTTGTGAGGGGGAGTTCAGAACTCCCTCTCCCCCAGAATAAACCACACTGCCTCAAAACACCTGCAAGGGTTTCAATCACCTTCCAGACTGTCACAAGCAAAGCAAGCTACTGCCAAATTGCAACCAAAGACAAATCACAGAAACAACCTCTTTCCCACACTTCAGGCTCCCATACCCAAAAACCTTCTCTCAAGCAGCAGCTCCTCCCAACCAGCCCCCTCTGAGAGCATCAAGGCTCCTTCCCACCCCAAGTAAGGCAGGTGGTCCCCATCACCTCTCCCAGGGCCCAGGTGCTGCTCCTTCCCCACAGTTCTCAGCCTCCACCCAGCCCCTGCTGCATCTGGTGCCTTTGCTGGGACTGCTCCCAGGAGAAAGGTACAGGAACACGCCAGCCAGAGCCCCCAGAAAGCATTTCCCCAGTTCTCTGCAAGCCCAAATAAGGGTCTCATCTCCTACCAGTGGAGCATGCCTCCCAGCTGGGAGCTACCATGCTGAACACTTTCTATCTGGCCCAGCTTTTCCTCTCTCTGCAGACCTCATCTCCAAATAGGAGAATGATTCTCTGCATTTTATTGGAAATAGTCCAAAGAAATTTGAAGACAGATAAGTTGTAAATTTTAACAGTTTGTCAACAAGTTATTAATACTTGAAATGTTCAAAGTACAAACAAATGCAAATATATCTAATGATTTGCCTCCTATATCCAGAATCTTATGGCAATAATGAAATTAATTCTACACAAACTCTCAAATTAAGCTAAGGAGTAGTTTCTCCTCAGTAATTTTTACTCCTTATAGTAAAAATTCCTCTCCATTTTCAGTGCTGATGAAATTAATAGCTTTCATGCAGATAAATGAAGTGTACCTCTATGTTAAATTTAGTTTTCCTAAAGAGCGACAAGTTCCTGAGAAGAATCTCAGCTAGAACAAAATCTTCACAGAAACAAAATAGGATTGCAGTTTTGATTTTCTTTAAATAGAAATATAACTAGGCTTCCTTTCCAAGATGACACTAGATAGCCACTCTAAATATTTTCATCCACACAATCTATTTATTATTCTCTGTCTTCTCTTTCCACAAACAGCACAAGACTTTCCATTTCTGAGACTTCAAATTAAAGGCTTTCATGTGGCTATCTTCAGTCATGCAGAGTTCAAAAATAGTATAAATGCAGAACAACATGAAGACCGTAAATCTAAATGTATATTAATTGCATCCAGTACGCAACAAAAAGCTTACCCACAATAATTAAGAAAATTAAGAGTAGGTCTTTATTAAAACTCAGTCAGAACCAGGAAATTAGAACTGTATTGCTTCTTGTATCTCTGTTTACTACGAAAAAGGATCACAAGTGATTATTTGTTCAGATTTCTGTTTTGCTCTAAAGTAGGCCAGCCAGCTCAGCACTTTTCTTAAGATTATGAATACTTGTCTGCCCTACATATGGTTTAGGCTGAAACCAATCAGTTGAGAAGAAATGTAGCAAAACCAACTATTTTCACGTCATTCACTTTCAGCTATAATGAAGAAGTGCACAACAGGTATATAAGGATCAGATTTTAAATACTTTTAAAATTTGCTTTGCCATTAGCATGGTTCACTAAGGAACTCATTGATTTCCTCACTATTGGATTAACACTTCATCTAGATTCAAAAATAATTTGTTGTTCATTAATAACTCTTTAACCACTTGTTTTCTCTGCTAGTTTCCAGTTCATATTTTTACATTGATTACCTCATTTAGTAGGAAAACTGAGTGCTGAAGTCCAGTAGACTTTTATATTACTGGGACATTCAGGATGCAAGCACACTTTGGAAGAAGACTTACATCAAAATTTTAAAAATATATGAAACAAAATAATTTCTTGGATTTTTAACTGAAATACTTCTGTTTGCTCTTTCTCCCCCACTCAAGCCATCCTTGAGAGTTTTGTTGTTATTTGGAGGGAAAGAGGTGAAATCATAGAAGATTGCTATATTGAGTTCAAAATAGAAAATAGTAATGTCTTCAAACAAACTGGGCTATTTGGAAGATGAGAACTGCAGAAACTGTTTTGCTTAAATTGTTTTTAACTTATTTTTCTTAAAAGTTTTGTAGTCTCATTTTCTAGAGCTGCTAGACTCTATGAAGTCATTACCTTCAAAATGTAAGTTAATTATGGAAAAAAAAAACCCTTTCATATCTGGGTTTTCCTTTTCCATTTAAGATATAAACATTATCAAATCATTCGTAAGACATTTCTGTCAGATTAACACCACACAAAACTCTTGCAGGTATCAGTAGCAAGGCAAAACAAACAAACAAACAAAAAAGGCTACAAAGCAAGTTTGTTTAAAACAAAGACAAGTATTTGTATTTAGTATCCTGATGTATGAGACAGTATTTTTTGCACCAGGGGAGAAGCATACCTTTCATCGGCTGCAGAACCTTGGTGTCAGATGGTGATATAATCCAAATGGGTCTCAGCAGCATGTTCCACAATATCCACAAGTTTCAGCATGGGGCTCTTCCACTTCCCGCAGGAGACCATTAACCATTAGTATGAATCCAAACTACGCTAAGACATTAAGCAGCTGTATGGTCCAGTTGGAACCACAACAAGCAGCCCTGAGGAATCCCAAGCTGTATTCCACCATTTGAAGAGTAATGCAATATGGCACCCATCACACACTGATGTTCTGGCAACCATCCCATTTTCCCAACAATCATGTTGTGACCTGTTCAAATATGAGGAAGAAGTGTTAGTTCAGCACAGAAACTCCACCACGCGACTCAGGAACTAACATACAAATATAAAGTTACTTTCTTCTGAATAATTTCAAACACAAATTTCTTTACAGATTTAGACACATCCTAAACTCAAAGCCTGGTGATGGCATTTTGTTTTAAAAACATCGTGGGGCTGGAGTGTAACAGAAGAAGGTTTAAGAAAAGGGCTTTCATATATATCTACAGATTGCACAGTCTTACCTCCCAGAAAGCACTGAAGTGACAGGGGAAAAAAGGTAATATAAAGGCTCTTCAACTGCCCTGGCCAGTATTTAAAAGCTAATGAAAACAGTTAGTCAATAAAAAAAAACCTAAGTAGAAAAAAAAACAAAACTTATCAACCCTTCTGAGGGAAACGTACGCAGATCTTTTCTGCCTCCTTAGCCCTGTTGCAGTGTCTCCCCACAGCACCTCCACCAGCAGATCTGCTACTTCAGCTGGGACCTAAACTTTGAGCACTGCTGATGGCATTTGGCCCTGGAAGAAGCCAAAGTAGCCCAACCCACATCAGTCTACTCTGGTAGTCCCTCTGTGCAATTCCTTCAGAGGTGCGAAGAGCAGATTTGACTTAGGTTGGGAAGGGGACTATGAAGAATGGAGAGAAAATTCTGAGTGCTCTGCACAGGAGGGAACAATGACATGAAGAACAGTGTCAGGTCTGAGAAGATGGAGTACGGGAAAGGAAAAAAACAAACTTCCACACTAAGGACAATGGAGAGGAACTAGAAGAAGCTTTTAGAGACTGGAAGATGCATGTACACAGAGAGAAAGATGAGAAGAAAGGAGAAAGTAAACATTTGTGAACAAGTATTATTGCTAGAAGCTCTGTCTGCGGAACTGGGTAACATGGATATAGAGCAGTCCACAGAAGAATAAGTTTAGGAGAGAACAAGAAGCTCTATGTTTGCTTCACATCAGGAGAAATGAGCATTTCTAAACATGGATGAAAAGGAGGATCCTGGCAAAATGAGTTTTTCATGAGAAATGCAAGCATAAAGGTAGAAGAGTAGATGGAAACAGATTAAGGAGGAGGAGATAAAAAGTAAAAAGTAGACTTCAGAAATTCTGAAATGGGTAGATCTAAGGAGAGAGGGGGACAATTAGGAAACTGGGACAAGAAAACACAAGAAAGTAGAGTATTGGGATGAAAAAAGATAAAAATGGAAGATTATTACATAGCACAGAAAAAGAAGATGGGGAAATAATAAGATACTAAATTGATCAAGATAATTAAGAAAAGTACAAAGAGCTCACAAGTAAGTTTTGTGGAGTTGCAATGCTTGCTCTAGAAAGCGTGAAGCAAAAGGAATGGAACAAAACCCAAGGCAACTCTCGCATTTCCAAAGGGACGAAGGGAATTGCACTGAAGCCCAGCCGAGGAAGGGCCAGCCTGGACTGACCCTTCCCACTCTCCCTTCGCTACGATCAATGCAGTCAGAAGAACAAAGTCCTCCCTCTGGTCCATCTCTCTTCTCCAAAAATTGTCCCTCGGCACTTCTGCGCACCTTGGCTCCCTGGGATGGTCCCACAGCCGCCACGGGTTACCCTCTGCGGTGTCTCGGGCCCCGCGACCCAAGCTGGCACACAGAGGAGCACCCACCTTGCCCCTGCTGCGCGCTGCCCTGCCCAGCCCAGTCCCACGGCCTCCACCAGCCCCCCACTCCCTGGCCAGGGCCGCCAGGACTCCCTACAATCCCCTCAAGTTTTCTCCGTCTTCAGCTTTTCTCTGTCCCAACTCTTAAAAACATAGCCCGATCCAGAAAGCCCTCCGAGTCAATAGACCTCCCCACCAAAAAAAAAAAAAAAAAAAAAAGAAAGAAAAAAGAAAAAAAAAGTTAAACCTCTAAAATAAAACAAAGCAGGCACAAGAAGGAGGCAAGGTCCCCCGCCCGACTAGTGCCCCCAGCCCGCATTACGGGAGTTCGGGCGGAATGACTGCCTTACCCTCCCCAAAAATACCTGCATGTGCTCCCAAAAGTACAAAGGAAAGGCTGGGCTGGCCCGCAGACGCCTCCGCTGCGCTCCCAGACCCGGGCGCGGATGGCAGGGCGGAGGGGGGAGCGACGAGGGAGCCGGGAAAGAACAATAAACCCCAAGTCCAAACGTACCTTCTCCTTTCTCTAAACTGCGAAACCAGATTTCCTCAGAAGCCTACGGCGGGGCTCTTTGCTTTTAAGCGGCGGGAGAGCTCCAAGAAAGTTGAGCAAATCTCTTCCGATAAAGTTGCCGAAGATGAGTTTACCCGGGAGAGGCGAGGAAGAGATGGAGAGTTCATCCGAGTTTCTCCTTTTGTTCAAGTTGCCCGAGCAGACAAAGAGCCGGCAGCGGCGGCAGGTCCCCCGCGCCCCTGCTCCCCCCGCGGTCCGGGCGCCGCCGGGGTCCCGTACTGCCCTCGCCCCCCGCCTCCTCCCACCACCGCAACTTTCCGTCTGCTCCATCCCTCCTCAGCCCCGACCCCGGCTCCGGCGCAAAACTTCCCTCGAACTGAACCTCCCAGAAAAAGAAAACAATTTAATTCAAGGCGGGGGAGTGGGGGGTGGAAAGGGAGAGAACCATCTCTCAAATCATTATTTCCGGTAGATGCACCTCTTTGTTTGGATTCCCCCGACTGTCAGTGAGGACAAGCCTCTGGGGATCTGCTTTCGGACAGTTTGATCTGCCGGAATGAGACGGGCAAACGCAGGACATAAAGAAAAATAACTTTAAAAGAAAGAAAAGGGGGGTAAAAAGTAGATAGAAAACAATATAAAATTCCGGAGTTGCGAAACGAACCCGTTTTTCATGGACACGGGAAGTACATAAATAAACAACTGAAGGGGAATTTCGGAAAACTGTTGGTTCTCCTCCCCCTCCCCTTCGCACTTTTCCAGAGAACGTAACAAAAAAAGCCCCCCGAAACCTCCTGGCTGCGGCTCCGTGCCGCCGCCGCCAGCTCCTGGCATCCCTACCTGTTGCGTAAAGCGCAAAGACGGGGCCGACCGCATCCGTCCCAAAGAAACCCAACGGGAAGGAGGGGACCTCCGGCACCCCACGTCCCCTCCACCTGCCCTCCGGCAGCCCCCACGGGGACACGGGCACGGGCGTCGCGGGCAGCCCCGGCGCGTCCCCGGCGGACGGCGCGGCCGCCCCGCGCCCTGCCCGGCCCGCGGCCGTCGGGGCGCCCCGGTCCCCGCCGAAAGTTTGGCGGGGCGGGGCCGGGGTGCGCCGCGGCCTCGCACCGAGACAAAAGGAGCGCGGAGCAGCGCCGCAACTCACCTTGGAGGGAGAGAGGCTGAAGAGACACCTTCCGCCTCAGTCCTCCTCCTCCTCCTTCCCACCCCCCGGCCCTCTGGGACCGGCTCATGACCGGGGCGCGATCACCCGGCTCAGCCCCGCCGAGGGTCCGCTCCCCGGCGCTCAACAAAAGCGGGGGGAGCTGCCCTGCCGCCCCCGCCCCGCCTGTCCCCGCTGTCCCTAACTTTTTGGTGCCCGCCTAGCGTCCCAGCGGGCCGGACCGGGGAGCGCGACGGTGCGCCCGCACCGGGATCCCCACGTCGGGGCAGCGGGCCCGGGGCTGCCGGCAGGGCGGGAGCGCTGCCGGGAGGTGTCGCCGGGTGGGGGGGCCACGACGCGGACCCGCTGCTCATTGTCTGTCCGAGGGTGTGCCCGTGGCAGGGCGGCGTGGAGGGTGCGTGGGCCTCCGCAGCACGCGTGGGGGTCTTGCGAGTTTGTGCATTCCGTGTGCGCAGCGGACATGGGTGCCAGAGGCTCCAGCCCTCAGGACCTTGCCTACCAGGCCTGAAAGATGTCCCCAGTGCTGTTTGCTTTATTTTCTTTTCTCTTTTTAGTTGGTTTGTATGTTTTTGTGTTGATTTGCTTTGGGTTTTTTTGTTTTGTTTTGCAGGTTTTTTTGCCTTACAAACAAGAGGAACCTTGGAAAAGTTACTAGGAAATGGTAGTCAATAGCAGCCCATACCCAATATAGTAGGGCTAGTTTTTCGAAGTCAGATAACAGAGGATGATCTTGAGATGTGGGGCTTTTTCAGAAGGGAGAAGAGAATGGAAGGGCACACTATTTAGCCTTTGGTTAAATTGTCCTGTTGACAACTTCTACAGTCCCTGCTCACCCATGACTCTTCCTATTTTCCTTCAGTTCATGTTCATTTCATGCCAACAACCCCCAACTTGTCCTTCTTCCAGCTCCTTTGCCCATCCCCATCTTCCCTACCTTTGAGACTCATTCAAACCATTTCCTCCCACCCAATGATGACAGCCTCAAAATTTTGTTCTTCAAATAATTTTGCAACTCCCCACCCAGGATCAACCTTTTTATTCTCATGTCCCAGAGAAACTGTCCCCAGCTCTTCCATTGCTGCTTGATTGCTCTTGAGCATTGTCTACCTAGATTCTGCTGCAATGTACATTGATGTTGGTTTTCATTACAGACTTCTGTGGTGAAATGATAATACATATAGTGTAGTGCCTCGCATGAGAAGTGCATCCTTGTAGTCATTCTTTACCACTCACTTTCTTCAGCTCTTCTGCATTGAGTGCTCTGGAGCTAGTATCATGATACTTTTAAAATTTCCTCCTGAATTTCCTATGCACTGTTTCTCCCTTCCATCCACTTCTGACTTTTCACAGGTTTTTATTCTCTTCTACACTATTTCCAGGGTTGTTTTGTCCATGTTTCTCTTTCCACCTCTGCACCTTTTTTTCCTTAATCTTTTGGGTTTTTTGGTGGAAGAGGAATGTTGACTGCACCTTTCCTAACTTCCACCCCTGTTTTCTCTTAGCAGGGCACAGTGAAGCCCAGAAAACATGTACTCTTCTGCTAATACATATATATTTTTTTGCTGTGTTTGTTTCTCAGATGATTCCCAAATCCAGTGGAACACTGTCCAGTTGTTTGCTTGTTGTGCATTGTGGCACAACCTGCAAACATCCTACAAAGGGCTGCTCTTGGTGGCTTTCTCTAGAAAAACACAAATTCTACAAGTAGCCCCTTGTGTCATGGGATTTTGGCTTTGGCCAACATCAATGGCGTGTTGCATAAAGGTATAACTTGCTGAGAATTTGTGAAGATGTTGACTTGCCCCATGGTCTGCTAGCTGAGTTGGAGTTTGCGGGGCAGGTAAATACAATCACCCATGCTTCCCTTGGAAGAAGGAGACCAAAAGCAGAAGACATAATAATAATTATTGTAACTCTCTGGTGCTGGTGCTATTTAAACAAAACATTCTATCTTATTACTTCATTATGAGTGATGAAGGTTACTAATCATTGGATCACAGGTCACCAGTTGCCTAGGATCCCATAATCATGGATCACGTTCAATACACATAAAGAGAGGAAAGTCACCATTGAAAATATCTTGTGAAGAGCTAACTGAGCAAGGATGAGAAAAATAGAAAAATTGTTTGAAAGGACAAAAATGTCAGAAACATTTCAGTAAAAGCTTTTGTGTCTTATAGAAGGGCTCATTTGATGGGTAAGTGGCCATCTGCCATTGAGACAGTAAAATTTTGTTGAAATTCCCTCGTGGTTCATTGGGCAGGTAAAGAGAAGCGTTAAGCCGTAAAAAAGAATACATAAGAGGCAATAAAAAAAGGAGCAGTTTGTGATAATTAACATCAAGTAGAAATTATATAATGTAGAACATTATTTGGAAAAGTCAAAAACATTAAATAAAAATCCACATCTTGAATGGATTAAATTAAAATAATTTTACAGTAAGTGGGGAATGAAGTATCTCCTAATAATGTTCATAGGCCTTTCAATTCTAATTATGAGACAAAAAATTGTACTAATGATACCTGTGTTCTGTAAGTGGGAAGATAAATATTGCACACAGAAAATAACCTATTTTTTGGTCTTTGGGCAGCACCTATCTCCAATAAACATTGAATCCTGAGCCCCAGATGCCTTGCACCCTAACATCAGAAAGCCCTTGGCTCATTATGTCACAGCGATGTCAGTTTAATAAATCCTGGAATGCCATGGGAATTATGGGAATTATGGAGTCATATTGCCAACATTGTACCAATGTGAAAAAGGGGCAAACAGAAAGACAGAGATTACAATACTCCATTTTGCCTGACATTCACCCCTTAAAAATAGTGGAAAACCTGACATAGGACTACACTCAAGGAGAACTAAGAATAAGAATAATGATTGTAAAGCAGTGTTCCTTTATCTTTAATTCCTTTTTTGTATTTAAATTTCACAGTGGATATAGAGTGGGTTGGAATACAGATCTAGAGACAGCTCCACATGCTGACTGATCTGGCTTGAAGAAAGTCACAACAGTGAAGAAATTTCCCATGGAGTGCCAATATTTAAACATTTCCAAATGGCAGTGACCTAGTCTCATCTGGCTCCCAAATAATAGAAACAACTGGCTGATACTACCTGTGTTTAGTTTCTAAATTCCTGATTCCCACACTGCACAGCCACATTTTTCTTAATCCTTCCTGATTTTTCTGTGCTATCTGATTTCTTTCTGTCTCCGTACGACTTTTACTCTGCTTCCCAAGTCTCCTCAAGGAAAGGCTTAACCAAAATTAACTCTAGACACAATTTCAGGACTTTTGAGATCACAAAAGTTCATCAAATCATCATATAAAAGGTCAAACTTTTTTCCTTGGCAAACTAGACAGAAAACATAATCCAGTTTATCCTGTATTTATCCTGGTTGCCCATATTCCAGAAGAGTATTTCATTTTGCTAAAACATTGTTGGACACACAGTCAACCACTTCTCTTAAGAACAAAGCCAGCTATAATCCTAGCTGTTAAAAAAAGAAAACAACAAAACAAAAACAACAAGGGCTGGTACTCATTTTAAATCAAAATTTGTTTGGCTTTAGTTTCTAGTTACGTTTTAAATTTATTTTATGTCTCGCCATCACATTAAATTATTGTACAGCTAATTTTATAAATGGGGGCCTGAAAGCAGGACTGGCTGCACAGGACAGGAAACCTTCCTGCAGAGATAATGTACTTACAGGATTGTTTTAATCTCTTTGAGGGATTACTTACATTAACTTGTTGAGGTTCCATTACATTTACCAAGAAAACATGCAATTGCTTGAAGTTTGCCAGTTGAGTGGGCTTCTGGGGCTGTAACACTCATTCAACACTTGGTTGCCAAACGAAGGGCAGCGGCCATTTAGAAGCACACGTCAGTGCCACAACAGTGATGTGAAGATTGGAATTCCCCAGGCCCTGTATTTTGTGTAGCTCCTGTAAGCACTACCACGCAGACCAAAATAAAGAGCAGCCCAGCCTGCAGCAGGGAGCTGGGTGTTGATTGTCTCATTCCCATTACCACAGAGCGCCAGAAGAGGAGGGCTGGTTTAAGTTCTTTCTATTTTAATACATCAGTATTAAACTCACAGAACTCATAGAAAAGTTAGCGTACATCAGCTACAGTAACTGTCTT